GAAGAGAGTTCATTACAGAGCTCCTTTTGTGTTATTCTAGAAAGATGGTGCAACAGATTTTGATTTTTAGCAGTGAGAGTTATGTGGCCTCACAGTCTTCTTATCCATGTGGAAAGTACAATTCCTACCTAAGCCCCCCTTTTTCTTTCACTCCCAATACCCACAGAGCACTCCACATCCTCACTTACAGTACTGATCTGGTTTTGCAGGTACTTGGATATGTTAGTTTGGTTCTACGATATGATAAAAGAAGTTAAAACCAGTATTATCCTCTTCTCCTAAACTGTCACTTCCACAGGAAATTTCATCTTTGACTAATAAATGGGAAAGTGAGAGTCTGGAAGTGTTTGGTGATGGCTGGCAGAAGGGAGCACTAGAAAACTGAGTACCTCAAAATAGGTTGCTTGTCTTTCAGCTGTGAAATAACTAGCATTTCTCTCCAGTATTTGCTGCTTGTGATTCAAGTTGGCTGAAGGGCTTGGATGCCCACAAGGGTTTTGTTTTTCTCCCCATTGTATTCTTTGACTTAATAAAAGATACTGCCTTTGCCAATTAAGCTGCTTTATGCTTTTCTTTTAGCTAAGAAGCTAAAAAGCTAAGGCCTTATTAAATGTAAGTTCTTAACAATGTATTCTTAAGCAGACAGAAATTAATATCTTAAGGTTTTGGAGTTTTTTTGCTATGTAAAGTCCAGAATCTTTGAGCATCCCAAAATGCCAAGGTTTTAAAAAGTGAACTATATGGCATTTCAGTCTTGTTGTTTCCTTGTGTATCTTCACCTTGTACCTCTAGGCGGAACATGAGTTTCCTCACAAGCTTTGAAAGATACATGTAAGAAGTTGAGTTTTATAGGTTGGTAAGATGAGTCAAAAAGAATTTTAAAAATCTTGGAAGGGTCATCCTTTTGTTAGTGGGAGCTCTCATATCTTCAAGGCATGTGGTAAAACCTGTTCTGCATTTACCAGAAAGCAAATTTGATGGGAAAATATATGGCATAATGGAAAATACATGATTCTGAGGCATAAACTGTCACAGGTGTAAAAAGAGAAAGTGTGGAATCAAGGCTGCCTAACAGAGAAGCTTACCTGAACCTCAGCTCTAATGACAGGCTGTAATGAAACAACCGGCCACCCTGCTGGGTCTATATAACCCCTGAAAAGAGAAGTTTGGTTTAGTTGGGTTTTTTTAAAGTTAATATGTCATTTGCTGTATGTTAGTAAAAGTGAGCTTACTCTCCTAAATCTGAACTTGGTTTGTTCTCTTGATTCATAAAGGACTCCTTTCACATACGTTAAGTGTCACTGTAGACTAAAAAACCACTGGTGCTTCTTCGAAGGTGGTTAAAGCCTGACTTAGTAAACTTTGCAGCCAATTTTCTACAGCTATCACTTCATAGAAGATGATCCTGATTAAGAAAGGTAGGGAGTGGCATATCCTGCCTTTTCCTTGAAAGGGATGGAAGAGCATTGATGCTCAGTGTTCACAGATGAGTAGGACCTGAAGAGGTCATGAGAGGAGATTAGGTCCAAACAATACCCTCATGTGTAGAATGGTACCACCATAAGCACACAAGCTGAGCATGAGTTAAAGGCTGGTGTTAGGCTGATGGGAGTCCAGGAGAGAGAGGAGCATGAAGGCCTCCTCTGTAAAAGGAAGATTGGATTTCCAATTATTTATGCAAGAGGAAATAGCTCATATGCATTCGTTAAACATTTCAGCTAAATGATTGCTAAGAAAACATCTGCCAGGAGTTCCTACATCAAACAAGGCACAAACCTGAAGCTGCTACCTTTCACCAGAGAACAATACCCTTTCTCCTGTTCATTTCAAGGACTATTTCCTTTCATCTTACTTCCCTGACAAAGTGAAACCAATTTTAGTAACATAGCTGTTGGAGAAAAATCTAGAGTTTCTGTAGTTACAGATGTGCCAGGTCTTAGCATATCTTGGCATATCATATAAAAAACTTTAAGAAAGTTCAGATAAATAGTCCTTCTTCAGGACTTAGTCTGCTTTACTCTACCCCACTCCACTCCAGACAAGGGAGAGCAGGAAATCTGAGTACATTCACTGCTCTTGATGTGCCAGCACTGGTAGCATCCCCCAGAGAGGCAGGTATTAACTCCCGGTGTGCTGCAAAGAGGGAACTGCTTCCCTTTGCAAAAGCACCACAAGTGCTCTGTCTGTTCAGCAGCATTCCTCTGCACACAGTGTGGCTGAAAAAGTCTCACTGAAAACGATTTATGAAGGCCTTTTCCAGCATAAACCCCAGGGAGAAAGGGTATTAAAAATATGACATACCGTAAATGTTTAAGTGACTGATGAGCCCACAGGCATACAGGCCTGGGATCTCTATAAGGATTTGTCAGTGAAGAGAAGGAATGTGAGTATGGTATCACTGGGGTAAGGTTGTGACCCAAAGCAGGCGACCAGCAGTGACTGTCCACACCAAATGCCTATAGTTAGGAAGAGCTTACTTGCTAAAGAAAATGTGGGTAAACTTAGCTAACAATGAGAGGCTTGGTTATCCAGTATTTTCCACATAGTTCAAAAAGGTGAAGTAGTAGAGGTTTACAACCACTCCAGCCTCTTTATAGTATTGGAGAACCAAAGGCTGATGTCTGCTTGCGCAATTCCAGTAATTTGCTATTCTAACACAATAAAAATACAAGTTATAACTGAATAATTCAACATTTACCCTTAAATAGTTAAAAATACAGGAAAATGTAAAGACAAGACTTTCAGACTCAAGGCTCCTCAGTTCTGTGTCTTAGTCATGGGTTGCCCAGGTCGAAGTTTGATAAAATATTCTGTTTATTGAATATCCTGAGCAAAAAGATGCTCACATATGATGCACTGCCCATTTAATTTTGTCTTTCCTTTTGACTCACTAGCCTTTGCATCACACTCGCACTTTGTTCTATTACAGAAAACCAAGCACATATCAACAGAAAACTGCAAATGTTATTGCAGTAGAGGTCAGGTGCGAGAATTTCATTACATTGGCACTGTTCCCACTTGTGTGAGGATTAGCTGAGGCTGAGATGTAACAATGCAGCCTCACCCCTATTTAAATTACTGAAGTCTTCAACTCCAAATGTCAGTTTCACAAACGGAAAGACTACCGCAAGGAGCTGAAAACTCAACATGGGGACCTGGAACTACTTTTGGCATTTCATTTTCTCTGTTTTTCTCTGTAAGTTAAAATGCATTTGATTATTTACCATTGCTATATATTTAAAGGATGACCTTGAGATACACTGGATAATCTGGGGGTGGGGGTCTGGAAGGCTAATGTAAAAAACAGTAGCATGGAATATTTACAGTTGGGATCTTTAAAATTTCTCTTGAATGTGTAGAATTTCAGCAGGTATCTTAGTATGCATATAGACCTGTAAGTAGATAAAAGAATGAAAGCAAAGTATTTGGAAAACTGTCATCTAAAAGATTAAACATGAAGTGTCTGACCCGATTTTACGCCTTTTTTTAGCCTTAAGATTAGATATGAGGCCAGTAAATGATCTATTTTGCCTATTTTTCTCCCCTGAGAGACTTGTTAGGAAAAGACTCACAAGAAAGCATATACTGATTATTTATTATTTATTCTGTGTTCTCATTGTACTGCAAAGAGTCTTTGAAATAACACCTAGAAATCCAGAAGATTGCATTATTTTATTCTTCCTGTCAAGTTTCATGTCGTTCAGTGCAGACGAGTATAAGTTTCTTGTGTGATGAGTACTTGCTGTTAATAATCCAAAGAATATAAGCCCAGGGTCTTACAACTCAAACTGTATTGGGATGCAGAAAATATGAAAATATATCACTCTGTAGGAAGAATTTTGCAAAATACCTAATGTTACATTACAGGCTTTTATGTATACACTAAATTATATGAAAATACAACTTTGGTTTTACAGGTAAGTAAAATCAAAAGAAATTAATTAATGTGATTCTTAAGAGTTTGATAGAGATACTCCACTACACCTGCTTCAAGAATCATGTAAGTTCTATACATCCAAAAGCCAGGACACAGGATAATAACTGTTTTTAAAAAGTAATATTAGTATGAGACTGAAGGCTGTGTTTGGTTTTAGTATGAACAAAACCACTCCTCAAAATCGAGGTTATATTACTTGACCAAGTAAGAGAAATAAGCCCAAATTAGCCTGAGTATCTAATCACAACAAAAAGAAAAGACTTGATTTTCCCTCTGAAGAAATTTTGTGAGTGCTAGAAATGTTGTTGTCTTCATGCTTGCAAAACTTACGTAGTTAAGATTTACTAATAGATATACAGGTAAACACAGGAAAGCAATGAATTTTCTCCCATGATTATTATGATTTAGGACATCAACATAAAGGTATGCAAGGTGTCCTGGGTTCAGCTGTAAAAAGCTTTATTTCCTGCCTGATAGCCAGTACATAAGAAAGACAAAATCACCTTGAAAATAAAGAAATAATAAAAATATACACAAAAAGATGAGGAGAAAATGATGTTGAAAAAATGCATTCCATTCATTATTAATTGTCCTTGTTTATCTACAGATATTTCAGTTTATAGCGTTGATAGAATCATCTAATCATTTAGATTGGAAAAGACTTTTTTTATAGTAGAGTCCAACCATTAATATAGCACTGCAAGAGGACAACTGAACTACGTATCTCATTGTACAAGAAATTCTATTTAGACAAAAAAAAGAACATAAATTGAAGACTAGGTAGAAAGCAATAGGAGAGCATAAAATACGGTAATTTAAAACTGTAAACTGACAGACAAACATTATTACCATAAAATCAATAAGGTAAAAAGATACTCTATGCAAATGAAAAATGAAAAAGCATAGGAATGTCAAGGTAGTTACAGAATGTTGAACAAAGAATGTACATGAAAATGAAGAAAGGAAAGGGAAAAAAAAGATCATAGATGAGAAAAAAAAATGAAATCTTCACACAGGAAAAAAGTAATACTTGGTAGAGTATTAAAGTACAGTTATATTGTAAATGTCCACAACTCACATTTATAAAATTGTACCAGGTACAAAGAATATAACAGCACTGGAGGAAACAACAAGCACACAGACTGAGGCCAATACTAAGACAGAGGCTGCACCCATGTCACCAGCCTGGGAAGGGAGCTCACTCAAGGTGCCTCCTGGGAGTGAGGCGACGAGCCCCACCTTCCCAACACCCAGGCCCAGCACCACTGCCATCAGCATGGACACAGCGAGTGGCACTGCTGCCTCCCTGTCCCTCCAGCCCAGCTCAGCAGCAACGACCCGCTCCTCCTTCTCATCCTCTCCTGTGGGCTTCACAGATGCCACTACCATGGCACAGAAAAGCAGCACCAGCGAAAACACTGAGGCGGGGTTGGCAGCCACATCCCACCCATCCGTGGCACCCATGTCCCCTGCTTCCTCCTCCACTCCTGCTGCTACAGGCACTGGGTCAGGCACTGTGTCAACAGATGCTCTGACAGACAGTCCAGCTCCCAGCACGCCCAGCTCCACGACATCGGCATCCACCTCCAGCATGTCCCTTGTCTCAGAGACCACCGATGCCAGCCTGTCATCCACACAGTCTGGCAGCATTAAGATGCATGCATTGCAGCTCACATCAACATCCATCATGCAGGGACAGGCCATGACAGAGGTGGAAGCCACTTCATCTTCCCCGGGAACCACCTTGGCTGCCGCAGCCACCACCTCTGATGCTAACCCAGACACAGCTCTTCCCAGCAAAGTTGAAACTCCCAACATGAACGAGGGGAGTGGCCTGACAACGAATCCCAACACCCAGATGATGCCCTCACTCTCCGCCACATTGTTGGTGACCCCCTCCACACCGCCAATGATGGAAGGAGAAAGGAAGACAGAGGCTGCACTCACGTCACCAACCTGGGAAGGGAGCTCACTCGAGGTGTCTGCCAGGAGCAAGGTGACGAGTGCCACCTTCCCAACACCCAGGCCCAGCACCACTGCCATCAGCATGGACACAGCGAGTGGCACTGCTGCCTCCCTGTCCCTCCAGCCCAGCTCAGCAACAACGAGCCACTCCTCCTTCTCATCCTCTCCTGTGGGCTTCACAGATGCCACTACCATGACACAGAAAAGCAGCACCAGCAAAAACACTGACGTGGGGTTGGCAGCCACATCCCACCCATCCATGGCACCCATGTCCTCTGCTTCCTCCTCCACTCCTGCTGCTACAGGCACTGGGTCAGGCACTGTGTCAACAAATGCTCTGACAGACAGTCCAGCTCCCAGCTCAGTGGCAACAAGCCATTCCTCCTTCTCCTCTTCTGATGGCTCCACAGCTGCCACTACTATCCTGCAGCAAAGCAGCACCAGCGGCACCACCAAGGAAAGCTTGGCCACCACAACCCACCTATCCACAGCACTCGTGTCCTCTGCTCCTTCCTCCACTCCTGCGGTTATGGGCAATAGTAATTTTCTTTTAGTATATCTTTACTTTTTTCCAAGTTGCTAAGTGTATGCACTAATGTGTCTTCTTTTTTTTTTTTTTAATTGAAAGGTAAAACAAATTTGAAAAGAATAGAATGAAGCTTTTTTCTGTTCTGCACCAGAGAAAACCCCAAGCCCAAACCAAAACTGGCGCTGTGTTTTCTCTTTTTATAGCATAATTGTATTCTACTTTGAATGCAGATCTAAAGAGTCAATTGTACTCTGATTGTGAGTCATAGTTCTGTCATGGAATTAAGTGGGAGATATGCACATGCATAAGGTAAAAATTGGTATTTCATAACAGCTCAATGTCTAAGTGGAGACCAGTGATGAGTAGTGTTCCCCAGGAGTTGTTATTGCAACTGGTGCTGTTTAGCATCTTTGTTGGTGACATGGACAGTGGTGTAGAATGTACCTTCAGCAAGTTCGCTCATGATACTAAGGTGTGTGGTGCAGTCAACACGGTAGAGGGAATGGATGCCATCCCAAGGGACCTTGACATGCTTGAGTACGAACTTCATGAAGTTCAACAAGGCGAAGTGCAAGGTCATGCACATGGGTTGTTTGTGAAAATAAATAGTATAAACTTGGTGAAACTTTAAAAGAAATTCTTCTTACTGTTTCCAAATTACTATTTTACAGTACAGATGACCTCAGTCCCTCCAGAAAGTGCTATGGCTAGATTTACAAGATCCACAGCCAATCCAATTTTCACCACCACATTCGTATCAGGACCTTGTAGTAAGTAAATATTTGATATTCAATACTAGAGATAAAATATTTGAGTTATTAAAATCAGATACAATATTCTTGTTTATCAGTCATATCAGCTGTGAAGTAAAATCCCTGGATATAATTTCAGAATGGGAAACCTGAGAGAACCACCAAAAATACATAATCAAAAAATTTACATCAATGTGTGATTTACAGCTATAGATCAAACAGTTTATTTTTGTTTTTGTGGGAGAATGAGGGGAAAAGACGAAACAAGCCCTACAAAAACTTACAAAAAATGGTATTAGTTTAATTTGCAATTTTTTCCTTCAATATTAAATGTGTAGAATTGCAGAAGTGAAATCAACCACCCTCAGCTATATGAAACTTTTCACTTTGCAGTGCCAATGTCCATCAAAGTTCAGAATGTGACTGGGTACGCAATACAATTCAGTTGGACTGGTGGCAGGAGAGGAAGCCTCCACACCATCTCCCTCATGGATGGAAGTCGGGAGATAAACAAAACAACTACAAACGAGACAAAAACTGTGTTTGAACATTTACTTCCTGGTCATGTATACACAGTATCTGTGGAAGAACAGTCTTGTGCTGGGGATAGCAGGACTTCAGTTACTGTTCGAACAGGTATTTCCACAATCATTCTGTCATTTCTTTTTAATGAGTATACACTAAAAATACCTTTTTTGCAATATGATTTGGATTTAATTTCATAGACTATTATTCCTGTAAGTCATCTTCACGTATCTGACTCATCCCTTTGCTTGGATAGGACTACTTGCATTAAACAGAAGTTTGCAAGAGAGTGCTTATTCTGTGAAATTTATGACCATGCTCTATTTCTAAACCAGATAATTTTGTACGGAAGTCAGGATATTTTGACTGTGAATTTAACAAGAAATATTCTGCTAGCATTTGTGGTAGGAATTCTGGTGAAGTTTAGGTTGTACATGCTTTTGTGAACGCAGGCGGTCCTTAATTGTCATTGTCATCTTTTAATTTCACCTTAGGACATAGACATTGAGACAGGCTGTTTAATTGTTATTTTCTCTTCAATGCTTGTGCTGCCAGGTTAGAGGAGGCATTTTTATTATTAATCCTCAAATGCAGAACTTTCAGCGAATTTCATCCCAGTGCTGCATCTCCAACCTTAGCTTCAACTGGTTCTTTCTGGAAGAGATGTCAGTTCTCCCCTGTGTTAATGGCACCTTCTAACTTTGTGTCATCAACAAATTTTAAGAGCAAACACATGCAATTGCTGGCAGGGTCTATAATGGAAATGTTGATCAAGTTCTACAATAGGACTGATTCTCAAGGAACACCACAAGTAATATCCCACTAAAGCAAGCTTTATTCTTTTAAAGTTGCCATCTCCTCATTAGCCAATTTATTTAGACAAACCTTTTTCCAGTAAAAATTTACCACTTGGCACTGTATAGTTCTGTTTTCCTAACTCTTTCTATTGGAAGAGATATGAAAGTCAGCTTGTCAAAGGAAGCTAAATAGGTTATTTTGGCATTACCCTCTTTTGGTAGAACTGTATTGCACTTTATCATACTTGGTCAGAGGTTGAGAAAATGTTCATGATTTCTTTTAATATCTTTTGAAAGATCTAACTTGCCTTTTGCCAACCGTTGCTTTCTTTCAGCATTTCTTGACCTAAAATATAACTGCCTTTTTTTGTAACACTTTTTTCCGTTCTCTAGTGAATTGTCTGATCATTCTCAAAACCTTTCTAGGACAATTATTCCAGCAGTTAAATGTGGGGCTCCTTCTTAGTGACTTACCCTCTATCTTAGGCTTTAGAACCACAGAACCAGGGAATTATCATTATTTCCATTCAAATCTTTCAATATCTCAGTCCAGTGGCTTTCATTTATTAGTGTCCTTACTTAAAAAAAACAAACCCACAAACTTTCATTTTCTTTTGCAATCTGGAGGCATCTGCCCTACCAGAAAGACATTTGAGAGCCAATTAAAAAGATCAATAAGGATCAAGTCACCTGGAATTTATGTGGAGTTAAAGATTATGTTCAACTCTGTGAGGAGAACTAGTGCTACGCACAGCAAGCTAACCATGTAAAAACTGCAGTACCACTCTTTACTACTGTTTTGAACCATTATAAATAATTCAGATTAGCCAGTCCAGACAAGAGTACTGAGGTTTTCAGACTCCATGATGCATATTGTTTTCAAATGAAACTGCAGGTGACTTTTACTTCTGAAAAGTCTCTCTAGTTTACCTGAGTTGTACAAGCACGTAACAGTAGCACCTATATCTTTAACTCCCATAAGAAATTAGAGTTCTCAACATTATGTCACTGAAGTTCTCAAATGCCACCTAGCCACCCACCACCTGCCCTTCTTCTGATATACTCCACTTTTATAATCTGCAATTCCAAGCTCTCCAGGGCAAAAAAAACCCTGCTCCTTAAGTCATTCCTTGGCCATGATTAAATGCTTTCTCCTATTTAATGATTTTCTTACTAGCAACAACCACACATGTACAGAGGCAGTTATCTTGACTTTTAAATTTATTTTACAGATCCTGCTTCCTGTTTCAACAGAACTGAGTTTTGCTTACCACAGAATACTGCCTGTCCTGACTTGAAATATACTGTATGCTCATGTACGTTTTACAGAATTTTAAAATTTGTTTATTCATAACTATGGGATGTTATTTCACAATATATAATAACTTTCATGAGTATTTTGCCAACAGCTTTATTGTGTCAATTCACAAAGCACTTTTTTTGGTAAGGAAGCTGCCTTCATCGAACTTCAGCATCAGCTTCCAACTCTATTTTTGGTCTGGACGATACTATGTAAAGCATACTTGTTTTGGCTTAGGGCTTATCCAGCTACTCAAGAGGATTTAAACATGCTCAGTGCCTTGGAAAATGTAATAAACCAATCTTGTTTCTGATGAAATCAATGGGAGAGTGGCTGTTGACTTAGGGAGATGCATCCTGAATAATACAGGAATGACTAACAAGTTGTGAGAATTGTGATGGCTGACAATTGAAGAAGAGATTCAACTCTGGAGGTTCAAAATCTAGTAGATTAGACATGTATGATACACTTTCTTATTATTTTATTAGTTTCTTATTTTATCAAATGGTATTAGAAATACATGACAGAATAAAGTCCAAAAAGCAGTTGTGGAGTTCCATCCTGAGATGAACCTAATTATTTAACTTTTTTTTTCTTTTCAGATTATCAAGCATTTTCCTGCAGTGTTTTGTTAAAAAAAACAGACATTTAATCATACACTTTATGACTCTGAAAGTGAAGATTACAAAACAATGTCTGAAAGTATCAAAACAGAAGTAAGTTGTTGCAATTGTCTTTGCCATCATGAATGAACTAAGAAAAGTTTTATGATTAGCAACATAGTCTCCTAGATTCACTGTTAAATCAGTATTGTGACAGGAGAAAAATATAATCCCTCAGGAGAAAAAAATAATCCCTCCTTGGTAAAACAGTATAGGAAGCACAACTGTCTTGACTGAAGGACAGAAAGGCTGATGTCCAATAAGGGGTATGTTCTCCGTTTCTCAAATGTAAGATATTTAGTGAAAGGCACTTTAAAATCCTCTTTTTGCAAGCACAAGGAACACCCCATTTTGTTTATTTTCTTCCATCTCACTAAAAAACATGCCTTGGAGAAGGAAAAAGAATAGTACTCAAAAATAAAATTTCAACACATACCTGGAAATATGAGACCTTTACAAGCGTGCAATGTTTGTCCAGATCAATGCCATTTTGCTTCATGGTAGCAGTTGCAAGACTGGAGAAAGTTTTGAGGGGTTCATATCAGGGTGGAACTAGGGAAGGGAAGTGGAAGCTTACAGAGCGTGGGTGAGCCTAGTAAAGCTGACATGCAGAAGCAGCGGTCTGCCACTTAGCTGTCTGTATCAGGATGTTAAATAAAAGGACTAATAATTCATACATCTCTCAGGAATCCTGATGTATAATAAGCCTGTTGGAAAGGTAAAACTTCTGTAAGATTGGGGTAGACTGCTTTTAAATAACTGGCATAGAAAATTGGTTTTTTTAGTATATCATACCTCTTAGGTAAGAATCTCCACAGATTTCATAAGCAGTACTTAATTTGTTCTCATAACACAAAGTCAGAGGTAACCTTGTCTTTTGACTGCTAGCATCTCCATTTTGTCGTGGTCAAAATTTATTTTAGTAAACTTAAGAGGCTTCCTCCAACCTCATTAAATGCGACAAGAATCCTGTTACTATGTTTTAATAAGATTTCACTCAGGTTTTGTGCACTATGTCAGCATGACCTTTTTACACTTTTCTTTATAAAATGGCTAAATCAAATAGTGGCTGTACTAACATCACCAAAAATTATGGGGAATGCTCCATCCCGGACAGTGTTCAAGGCCAGGCTGGGCAGAGCCTTGGGCAACATGGTCTAGTGTGAGGTGTCACTGGCCATGGTAGAGGGGTTGGAACTAGATGATCTTTAAGGTCCTTTCCAACCTAAACCATTCTATGATTCTAAAATGTAGTCAATTTCTGTGTTGGATTTTAATGCAAACTTAGTGTGACATGCAGTTTGGGGTGAGGGTTTATCCCACAGAGAAAGATGAAGGTAGACAACTCAGCAGTGACTCAGAAACAAGGTTCATTATCATCCATGAAACACAGTAATCTTTCAGACTTTTCAGGTAAAATTTCACACTTATCTGCAGCAAGAATATACCTTTTTCTTAGTGGGTTGAATCAAACACCTAATTTTCTGTAAAGATTAGTCCTGACAGAAATGTTTCAACCAGTCTTATATAGTTAGAAGGGAGGACTGCCTGGTTTTGCCCTATATCCACATGAGCACTGGGCAAAACTGTACTTTTGGAGACATCAGCATAAACCTAAATCATTCCAATTGGTGTAATGGGATTATACTTAGTTTATACTAGAGTGACTGAGAGACAAATCACAGCCTTGTCTGTCTTTGCATAGTTACCGTGTAATGTCATGATTTTGATGATCTAGTGACAAAGCATTTTACCTGTTCTAAACCTCTAACATCAAGTTTTTGCTGTTAGTGTGTGCATGACTATGCCTGAAGTTTAGCTGCACATGTTGAAAAAGCCAGGGGACACTGAAGGTATCTTTAGAAATGTTAGGTGCGCTTTGTACACCTAACACTTAATAATTTCAAACATTGTACAGTCCAGGTCCCACATAGGTTTGTAGCCTGTGCAGGAGGATTGCTAGTTTCAGTGCATTATTCATTGATAACTAGGTAAACAGTTTGCTTTTACTGCTTTGAAAGTCAAACTTAGATTTCATAGTTTCAATCACAAACTATGTGTTGTTCCAGAATCCTCCTTCAGTAATTTTTTAGAGAATTATAAAAATGGAAAAAATAAATATCCTGCTTTATGTTGATGCGTGCATCCTGTGCTGCTTCAGTTGACTCACATATGGAACAAATATTGGTTTCAATTTACACAGGTTGTTAGAGAAATGCGCATTAGACTGAAAGATGACCAGTTCAGTATCATTGTGCTTGGATTCAGACCTGGGAGTGTGATCGCTGATTTTATTTCTCTATTGCAAACCCAAGACTCCATCAGTGTGACTGTTATGCAGACACACTTAAGTCAAATACTGAAGAGCAAGTTTGGTGACCAAACTGAAGTAATCATACGATGTAAGTGTTGTTGAAACAGCTTTTCTGTGATGGCGTGGGGATTAAAGGGTCATATCACCTGCTCTTCACAGAAGATGATAAATTAGTTTCTTTCTTTTAAGAGATTCAAGTATTTCAGATGACCTATTTAAACAGTCACAGAATAGATAGTCTAGATGTCATGTAGATTACGGATCTGTTTTAAAGAGCCACAACATATACCCAGTTCCAGACTTAAAGGGTTGGTGGGTTCTCTTCACATAGCAGGAGGGCTAGGTGAGCTTCTTGTTGTAGCGTGTATCACCTTTTCACCCTCCAAGATGATCTTAAAAGACTGGTTTTCAGTGGAGAAGGGGATGAGGAGGCTTCTTCTGTAGTGGCATCTGCAATACTTCCCTCTGGATAGAGATGTGATGGAAGGGTTCGCCTCTTCTGCTGGACAATCCTCTTTGGCCCCTGTTTCCTTGGCCAGAGGTGGTGTGGGCTTAGCAACACAAAGTACTGCAGAGATGCAGAGAGGCTGATAGGTAGTAGAAATTGTGCAGGATATTGATCCAAAATACAGTATCTGTTATGCTCATGGTAGTGGTAGTATGCTTATTGCCTTGAGCTCCTATGAGCTGGCGGCTTTTCATGCAACACAGGTGCTCCTTCTGCTCCAGTTAATACCCTTTCTTCATAAAACACTGGCTAGCAATATTATTTTGTCTATGTGCCTTTCCACCATTACTACATGCATCTCTACCACAGAGATGAGGTGTGCTTACATGTGCTACAAGCCTTTCATTGCCTTTATCTGGAAATCAGAAAGCTTTCTGGTTTTGGCTTATCAGTTTAGAGACTGGTTTCAGTCCACTGTCTTGTGGATCAAGTAATGGGAGGTGTTAGTACAGATGGCAGATCAGATCCTGATTAATTTCACAGAGTTCCCTGTGGAAGTATAAGGAGGAGTGTGAGGGTTAAATTATGTACAGTTCCATTTCATGGCCCTTTTTCACACCTTGGAGCAACTCTTTGTTGAGCTACAGACTGGAGTTCTCTCATCACAGAACCTTCTAGATATTTTTCATCAAGCAGATCCTCAGAGCTGATGATTATGGATGTCACCAGTAGACCACAGGGATGTTCATAGAGAGGGGTCCATAAAATTTTCAAGTTATTGAATCTTTACCACATACAAAAATATTTTTAATATCATTCAAAATTTCCAAGGCTGCCAAAGAGTAAAATGCAGCTGTCTCTTAGGGCTCCAGGCCTTCTTACACCTACTAGTCTCTAGCTGACATTTTCTAAATTTTAAATTTTTTTGTTTTGAATTTCCAGCTTCTTCTGCTCAGTCATCAACTGAAAAAAATTCCCCCTGGAAAGTGGCAGTGATTGTCCTTGGAGTTTTACTTGGAGTTGCATTACTGCTGATTTTTCTGATAACATTGTTTTACATTTATAAGAAGAAAAGTTCGACTGCATATTTGGTTGAACCTAAAGGACTTCTGGGAAATTTTGTCTACAAGCACTTATAATAAAAGTGTTCGGTTTCATTTGCATATTTTTGTTAAGAGGGGAAATTAATATATTTTTCTTAAATTCTATGTTAATTGTGTATGTTAACTTAAGATAACCCTACCCGCTCCTTCCCAATGGCCACCACCAAATTCCTGAGTGCCTAACAACCTTTAATGAATGAATCATCCTTTTAACATTGCTCTCAGGTATGGAGTGGTGAAATCTCCCCATTTTGCATGTGCTAGAGTGAGGTATGGAAAAACTTCTGTTTGGACTATCAACTATAGCTACCGCAATGATTCCTAACCAATGGGTATGAAGAGTGATATAATCCAAACTACTCAATATTCTCATACTTAGATGACACAGCAAAGGCAGCAACTGATCTTAGTACCTATGGCAGGTCACCTAAGCTCACACAGCTGAGCCCAGTCATCCTGTGAGGCTTTATGCACTTGGGTGATTCACCTCACCTGAGATTTTTATCACCATATGAAGATGCCTTTTTCTCTCCAGTGACTGCAGAATGAGTTCAGGGTAATTAGTGTTCTAGCATATGCAAGTTGGTTAGGAGTCTTTAAAGGAAGAGTGATAGAGCTGGGCTGTGTGGGTTTGTTATAGGGCTTTCTGGAGGAGCAGGAGTTTGATCTGGAACCTTCTTAATTCAAGGTTAGTTTCTTTAATTGTTGGGCTATGAAGAAACAACTGCCTTTATGTGAAAAATGCATAGTATGCTAAATACAGGTGTATGTAATTGGACAGCCTTAACGTGTTACTAGATGGGGGAAGAGAGAAAAAAGGTTAATTTGTGCCAAAGTATTTTGCTCATCTATTTTTGCCTGGTAAAAATGGTTGGTTGGGTGAGGATGTGTCACACAGTGCCATTTTGCCTTGCTTTTGATGATGCCAAAGCAGTGTCTGCTTAAAGCAGCCTGAAGGACCCTGTGGCATTGAACCAGATCTTGTGCTTTCAGGCACTGAAAAGAAATAACCTTTACCTTTTTTCACTCCTCTTACAGTATGCTAGAGGTTGGAAGGGATCTCAATAGATCATCCAGTCCAATCCCCCTGCCGGAGCAGGAACACCTAGATAAGGTTACACAGGAATGTGTCCAGGCGGGTTTTGAATGTCTCCAGAGAAGGAGACTCCACAACCTCCCTGGGCAGCCTGTTCCAGTGTTCCGTCACCCTCACTGAGAAGTTTCTTCTCAAGTTTAAGTGGAACCTCCTATGTTCCAGTTTGTACCCATTGCCCCTTGTCCTTTCTTAACTGCAGTCCTGATGAGGTTACAGTCTATTTCTCCTGTGATATATTTGTCCTGGGTTCAGCAGTAGCAGTCATTTTTTCTCCTTCTTAGTAGCTGCTGCAGCACTGTGTTTTTGACTTTTGGCCTGGGAACAGAGCTGATAACACTCAAATGTTTGGTCTGACCAAGGACTTTTCTGAGCCTCATACTCTGCCAGGGAGGATGGGAAGCTGGGAGGAAGCAGAGACAGGACACCTGACCAAAACTGACCAAAGAAGTATTCCATACCACAGCACATCATGCCCAGGATGTAACTGAGAGTTACCCAGAAGGGCTAGGGCACTGTGGGGTTGGACAAGGTATCAGTTGGTGCTCAGTCGGGTGGGGTGGGATGAGTTACCGGTTGGCTGGTGCTGAGGTGTTATATTCTATTCCCTTATTATTTCCTTTATCATTATTATCATTATTGGTAGCAGTAGTGATTTCTGTTATACCTTAGTTACTAAACTGTTCTTATCTCAACCTGTGGGGGTTGCATTCCTTTCGATTCTCCTCTCCATCCCTCTGGGAGCAGGGGGAGGGCAAGAAAGGGGGGAGTGAGTGAACGAGCTGTGTGGCTGGGTTTAAACCATATTTTTTCTGCTTGGGATATGTTGTTGAACAAGTGATAAAGGGCAGTAGACTGCTGTGCATATTTTCAGTCCAATTTATGTATTTCATCACAAACCAATTCTCTCTGCGTCTGTGTATTTTGTGTGTATGCCTATGCTCAGCATTTATGTTGAGGCCCTGAACAGTTTGGGGCCTTTGTGGACTATGTTATGGCTAGTTGACATGGAATAGAGTAAGGAGGTATCTAGAACTGTAGCATGCTGTGGGACACAGCAGATAAAGGACCTCAGCAGGAGTAGTGGTGTACAAGAAACTCTTTTGTCCTCTGGATCCAGCCAGTGTTAATTTTTTTATACCTCCTTTCTTGCATACAGTATGGCTCCTGAGGGAACATTGCTGAGAACCCTAGTTAAGCAGAAGGGTGAAGCCATCTTATGAGCTGGCCTTACTGTAGAAAGGTTGATTTTGTGCAGGCTGTATCATCACCCTGATGAGAGAAGTCACATCCAGCCTTGCTCTTCTGTCCTTGGCTTAGCAGCAGTGTCACTTTGTGAGGCCAGTGGGCTGTGCTGGTTGAGAAGGGAAGGCTGTGTGAGTACCTGGGGTGTCTTTGCACACAAAGTTCTGTTGGTGGCTTATGTTCCTGTCCAGAATATTATTGTTTTTGCAGGGACCAGTGAAAGAGGGGTCTTGCATGACTTGTTATCCCTTTCCTTCCATGTAGTATCAGCTTGGCTGTCCCTCTGCTCACGTCTGGGCTACGGAGTCACAGCCCACCTCACTGTTGGGAAGTCAGTGTGATTAGTAGTTGTTAAATTTATTCTATGTGGGTTTTAAATATAGCTAGCTCTGGTGCTATATTCACTGAGCAGTCACTTGACAATGTATTCTGTCAGTAAACACAAGTTATCCAGTGAGCTATTGTTGAAAATATAAATGAGATCTCTTGCTTCTGTTAATAGCATTTTCTTGCTCTTTTTTTTTTTTCTGTTTGTTTGATTTTTGTTGTTCGTTGTTTTTTTTTTTTGTGGGGGAGAGCGTTCTACTTTGAGTAGCAGACTCATTGTTATTAAATCTTTCTGGTGTTCTTGCAAAATATTGCTGAAACAAAGACCATGTGCAGCAGGCCTGTACTATGGAATCCTGGGACTTGTTTATGCAAAATGTATTTAAGCTGTCTGAAGAATTTGTTGTATTTTAAATGATTTTCTGAAGAAGTCTTTACAAATAAAATCTCTATTTTTAGAATTTTTGCACTCCAAAGGCATCTACTGTTATGTCATGTAACTTGAAGTCTCTTCTACCTGCAGGAGGGGAGACTGAGGCCACTATCAACAACAGGGCTAACCTTGGTCCAGTATATGATTACACAGGGGTATGAGTTCTGTGAACCAGATTACACAAGAGAAGCCGGATCTAATGGATCTAGCCTACTTTTCCCCTACTCCAACAAAAATCCCTTTACCCCCATACTGTGGTGTCTGGACTCTGAGAATTCTCTAAAAACAATAGCAGGAGTAGCCAGATCTCTTTTCACAGGGGATTGCTTCCTCGCTTCCAAGCAGCATTCAGACTGGCTTGTGCACACCCTGCTCCGACAGATGCAGACACAGTAAGTGGGACAGGGAAATAAATCAGTCTGCTGGTAAGATACTCAAAGGTATCTAGGTAGCTGGCTCCTGTTGATATCAGTGGGATTTAAGCAGCCCTTTAATCTTTGTGGATCAGGGTCTATAAGACTAAGAAAAGGTACTTGCTTGTTTCAGACACACTTTTTTAACCTGGAACTGATTGACGTTATCACCCAGAAAAACTTGAGCTGCTCTGGCTTTAAGAGACAGGGGTGAACCAGTGTCTGAACAGCAGAAGTATGCAAGTCTGGTTTCCTAGGGGCTGACTTCCTGCATGCTCTATACCCCATCACTGCAGTGATACACCTTCTCATCAATCTCTTGAAGGTCTCAGACTATGGTGCGTGGTATTAGTCTGTGCTGTTCAAGTTTTTAGCTAGCTTCTAAGTGCTGGTCACTTAAGCTACTGTTCCCTTCATGCATGTTGTCATCAACGCTGAGATCTTAGGAAATACTGTGTTCTGTTCTTACTGAAAGCCATAGCAGTCTGAAAGCTGACTTCCTGGTGAGACTGAGGTCCCAGCCAGCCTCTGGCCTCTGTCATGTGATGTCCCTGGAACTGTTGAGACTCAAGTCTTCCATTGTGTTTTAAATAATTTCCCTTTTCCACAACTTATAATTCCAATTGCTGTTAATAACCAAAAGATTTGCTGCAGCTTCATAACTTATGAGACATGATGAAAATTATGGTACTATGAAACCAGGACCATACTCAGCTGTTGCACAGCATTCCCATGGGCATAGGCAGTTTGGAACTGGATATAGTCATGCTATGGAAGAGCAGGTTGTGCAGTCACCGTCTTCTATCCCATTGGGATTGTGTGGGCTATGCTAGGAATTTCCTTTAGTGCCCTCGTCATTGTAGACTTGTGATGGAGAATGGGAACTGCACCTTCTTTAAAAGGGAGGAGTAAAGCAATAGGCCATGCTCTCAGATTGAACAAGAGAGGCCTGGGCAATAGCAGGAATATCATCTCTCACCTGCTTACCTCCAGCCTGTGAGCCAGATGCCAGAGGAACAGAAGGAACTGGCTGATAAACACAGGGAAGCCACTGGACCAGAATTTCCCTCTGCTGGATCTACCCTGTGCTGAAATAGACACTGAAGTGTGACACTAAAGCATCTAAAGACAGTTAAATTAGACAAAATACCAACAAGAGGAGCCCAAGCTGCAGATGATCTAAGCCCAACAGCATAGCAATATGCCTCACCCAAGAATTCAGGATATCCTAATTATATATTGACCAATAAACAAGGAGTGCATGCATGCACTCAGTATGGCCTGGAAAAATGCAGGGTTTGGGCCTGGGTAGGACCTTGGCAGCTGGTGCCAGGAAGAATGCACAAGCTGCAGTGACATCAGCCAGCCAGCCAGTCCTTCAGGCCCGCATTACCTGAACGTGATGTTGCCTGGTTTAACTAGGGACTGCAGCTAGTCATTATGATGGACTTTATAATAAAGGAACTGCTGACATCTGCTTTAAAGCGTAAGAGTGTGGAAATAATCTAGCAATAGAAATATTACCACTGGTAATCCAAGCAGACCTGCATCATTTTTACTTTTTGAGAGCTGGGTCGTCCCAAGACATTGTATTCTGGGGACTCAGATCGATGACATACCTGTTTATCTACTATTAACTGGATTAAGCTTGTGGATCTGCCTGCTGGAAACCCATTTTCCATTTCATGAGAAGAGTCGTACAGCACAGCTGCTGCAAAAGGGTTGGGTTTAAACATTTTTGCTATATAGACGTATTCATTTACCAATTGTTTCTAGTGTTAAATGGTTCCTTTAAGGACTCAGTTTCCAAATATTTGAGGAAATTTAGGGCTGTGCTCAACTTGCAGTTAGAAAGCTTGCAGTGAGAAAATGGGATCTGGCCAGCTCACATCCACTTGGCTGTTTCATGGCCCCTGTTAAAAGTTTGCCCTGAGCAGCTGAAGAATATTTGTGCTGTAGGTCACATTTCTCTTCAATTACTCTTGCTGCTGGGGGACACCTGATCTTCCATAGTCAAATATATGTGAAATTGTGCTAGAAACTGTAGCAATAATCAACATTTTAATTCAGGGAAAGACAAGCTTTTGTTAATGGTGTTGTAAATGCCATGTTCTAAGCTCACCATGATCCTGTGCTGGTGTTGTTTAACCTCAGCCAGCATCTAAGCCCCACACAGATACTTACTCACTTTCCCCTTGTTAGATAGGGAAGAGAATCTGAAGGGTAGAAGTGAGAACACTCCTGGGTTGGGACGAAGACAGTTTAACAGGTAAAGCAAAACAAGGAATTCATTCACCATGTCCCATGATCAGGCAGGCACCTCTAGGGGAGCAGGGCTCCATCACATGTAATGTTTACCTGGGAAGACAAGCACCATTGCTCTGGAAATCCCCTTCTTCTTCTTCCCCCAGCTTTATATGCTGAGCATTACCCCATAGGGTCTGGGATATCCCTTGGGTTAGTTGGGATCAGCTGTACTGGCTGTGTGCCCTCCCAACTCCTTGTGCATCCCCAGCCC